TTATCAAAACTAAAATATGAAAAATGTGTATAATATTTACCTAATATCTCTACTTTTATGACTTTTGCTTGATACGAATGAAAAGTGGTATTGGCGTTCGAAATCATTATAAGCGTTTCATTCAAAAATAAATTGCTAAAAATTATCTTGTGTTCTAACAGAATAAAAAGAAGCTATTCTAAAACTTTTTTTCCCATTCTTTTTATTTGTATTCTCGAATTATTTCATTTAGCGTTACAGTTTTAGTATCCGTATAAATTTTTTTGCAAAAATGTATTAAAAAATATTTTAAGTGAGATTGTTTTAAGTTAATAGAACTTTGTGGTTATCAACTACATAACATTCTTAAACTTATATCAAGAAGTTTGATGGTTAAAGTTTAAATTTAAGGAAAAATCAATTTGAAGATACCCGGTACCGGTTACTGCAACAAAATGGCCGATACTGGGTACCCGGTAAAACAGCCGATTTGCCGGGTCCCCGGGTCCGAACCGGGTCCCTGGCACATCACTAATATATATATATATATATATATATATATATATATATATATATATATATATATATATATATATATATATATATATATATAAGGCTTGGATAGGAATGGTGTGCGTTCGCACTATGTAACTGACCACGCTAATATTTTTTCTTTACAACTTTACCACAGATATTTTAATATTTTAACAGTTTAAATGTAATAAAAAGTGTTACATGAGTAATTTTTAATTGTTGATCTTTTCTAAAGTTTTTATTTTAGCGAAGGCTTTAAATAAAACCATAAAATTATTTATAATGATTGTTTATATAAACATATGTGCAAATTAATAAAAAATGTTATATATACATTTTTTTTATGTAGCAGGCTTGGTCGGGAAGCGGGAGCGATCGCTCTCAATTGCTGACCACGTAAATAATATTTAGTTGCGAAAAGCTGGCCAGATTTTTTAATCGTTTTGAGAACATTTTAAAAAGCAAAAAAAAAAAAAAAACGACTAAGATTAATTGGACCGATGAGAGACAATAAAAAAAAAAAAAAAAATAGGCAAATAAAATATCTTTAAACGCGAAAAAACTTAAAGCTAAATAAATTACATTTAGAACAAATATTTTCGAAACATCGCTCTTTTATAATTTTTTTATAAAATTAAGCGATGTTTTTTATATAAAGTAACAACTTACGATTGTTTAAAAGAGAAACAAATATCCTTTATTTAACTAAGTTTTAGTTTTACTTGAGCTAAATTATTTAATAAATAAAAAAGTTAATTTTTGTTAATACCTATTTTATGTTTCGCGTAGTTTGAAAAGTTTAACATATTTGAAGCAATTCTTCTTAGTAAGATAAACAAATTAAATAATTAAATCATTGAATTACTATAGGAATTAAATTATCAAGATAGATATCAACTAAAAAGGTTAAAAATACTTAATGACCAGGAAGCGAAACTGATTCACAATATCGCTGATAATGTTTAGTGAGTGGGCTTTTTAATTTTAATTAGAATTTAAAGCAGAAAAAAGTAAAACGAGTTTTAAGAATGGCAACTTAAGCGAACATAATTAGAGTTAGTAAACCAATATCTAGAAACTTTTTTTTTTATCTAATTATTTGCCATATATATTTGTGTTCTGTCGTGACCTCAGGCGCAATGCTTGTTCATCCGCGAGTTACTTTGTATGCATTGTTTGTGTTTAGTAACTAGAAACTTCTTATATGTTTGTTACATAATTAGTTTTATTAACTTTAACGATTATAACTTCATTGAAAACGCAATTATTTTTGCAAGTCTTTATTTAAATTATAAAAATTGCTTTAAAAGATACATTACGATAAAAAACAGATACACAAAATTACATTTACATAAAGATTACATACTTTTTAAATAAAAAATAAGAATATACTAGTAAAATCTATAATTTATAATAAATTTTTAAAATTTTAACAATTTAATTAATATAAATTTAAAACATTTATTTTTGTAAACAAATAATATATATTCTTATAACAATTCTAGAAATCTCAAAACGTAACAAATCGTGTATAATACTATTTCTGAAACATTTTAACAGAATACTCTAGAACTTTATTTCGCTTAATCAGCGTATTTTTTGAACCAATAGAATTAGTTTGTTCGTTAATTTGGCGGGTTTTTAGTGCTCGCATATATTCTTTTTATTCTTTCGCACAATGATGTTTTGAGAACATTCAAGTGTTTTATGTTTCCATGTATGTCCGTAAAACAAAAATTTTTTGTTTCATAAATAAACTTAAATGTTCTCAAAACGACTTAAAAACCTGGCCAGTTTTACGCAACTAAATATAATTTCCGTGGTCAGTATTCGAGAGCGATCGCTCCCGCTTCCCGACCAAGCCTGATGTAGGCATATATTTTTTATGATAAATTTAAACATTTAAAACTATTTTTCCATGTCTTTCTAAAAATCTTTTAAACCATTATATTTAGAAAGATTTTTTTTTAAGTTACTTTAATTAATGAATAAGTTCAAAACCTTATGTGATTGCTAGCTTTTACTCATTTTATGTGAATTATAGAAGAAAATAAAATAACTTTATTTACTTATATAAGCATAAATTTTGTTGATTAAATCAAAAGTTTTGAAGCATTTTATAATGTTCATATGATTAATTTTATATAAAACCAGAACTGATAGGAATATTTAAAAAATAAAAACACCAGAAGAAAGAGAATCATCTCTATTCAAATGTGTCAAAATAAAATCCAAATAATTTTTCAGTCATTTTATTTTTTTAAAAGTTTAAAAGAGAGTCGTAAAAATTTGCTTTTTTCTTTTATTTGCTTTCCTCATAATTCGGGAACCATAATTTGTTTAAAAATAATTTTACCTCTATCTTGTAGAAAATTCAATTTTAATACCGATCACATAATTTTTTTTCATTTCATAGTTAAAAATTAGACAAAAAAGTAAGAAAAATTAATGCTAAAATTTTTTTGGTAAAACTGATCATTCACATATTTACTTTAAATTCCTTTTAAGTAGTATGTGAATTTTTAAACTAGGTACCTAGGTGAATTAAATTATTGAACTTTCTCATGTTTAGTTCCGCGTTCTTCCTATATAAAGTTATTTTACAAAAATGACTCAATGATATTTATTAATTATTCACTTTCAAGATGACAACAAGTCATACAATAAAGAAGATATAGAAGCTGTGTTAAATTATATAAAAGAAAAAAATACTTCAATCAGAAAAGCTGCATTCAAATATGGCATTCCATTCTCAACTCTAATAGGTTGCAAGAACAACAACAATGCTAGCTTCAAGGGATTAGGATCAACAACCATACTCTCACAGCAAACAGAGTCAGTAATGGTGCATGCGTTTAAGTTCCTATATGATTGGGGTTATGGTTTAACACGAAATGATGTCATGGACTTCGTATGCGGTTACCTTCGTACAAATCAATCAGGCCTATTTAAAAACGGCAGGCCTGGCAAAGACTGGTTTTATGCATTTATAAACCGATGGTCTAAAGAAATTTCCATAAGAAAAACTCACACTTTAGCATCTGCCAGAGCCTCTTCTTGTACGCAAGAAACTAATAAAACTTAATCATTTTTGAAAAAACCACTTTACTTAACCAAAAATACAACTTAATAGACTGGGATGTTTTTTTATTTCAAATATAATAATATAATAAATTAAATATTAAAAATATTTGTAAAATGTAATATAATAAATTAAAAATATTTAAATATGCATATACATTAAATATATATATATACACATGTTTGACAAATATGTGTACACATCAAAAATTTGTTCACCAAATTTAAAAAAATACTAGTATTCAGTATTATTAAGTTGAGTAAAATTTTAGATTGATGGCAAATATTTATTAAACTATGGTACCAAAGTTTAACAAATTACTATTTGCTATTCCCTATTCATTTAATAAAAAAAAAAAACTATTCACTAGTGCTTATTAGATAAATACCAGTATCTAAAGGGGAAGTTTTTAAAATATGTAAATGAGATCAGCTACCAACAATTTTTTATAAATCTCTAGATTTATGTCAAAGCAAAAAAATCATTTATTTCAAACTGGTTTCAATAGTAATTGATCTGGTTTAGATAGCAGCAGAAATATATTGTTATACCACTGTTAATAATCAATGCTTCTAGATTATAAATGATAAAAAAAAAAGACTTTATATATATCTTGTTCATGGTTTTCTTTTTTTTTCAGAAACATCACAGAATGTCTTTTACAATTTATATAAAAATTATGATAAAAAAAACTCTAGACTACAAACTGGAATTTATATTGCTTATGCTTTGCAACAAAATTCTTTATGGATTTTTATGTTTTTAATGATTACTTTTAATTTAAAATTTATAAAATATCAACAATTTTTTTTTTTAATTTATTGAAATTTTGGTTTTGGTCAATAATCTGTCTGACAAATTAAGGTCATTCAGAGCAAAGTATAGACATAACAATTAATATAAGTTCACTTATAGTAAAATTTACATTATTTTTTTTTTAATATTGATGGAGTTTGTTCATGACTTATTCATGAAATATGGCATATTTTTTTAAGTTTAACAAAATAAAACAGCATGTTGATTTTAATACAAAAAAGCAAGTCTCTTAAATAAAGTGAAGCTTATTTTAACAACCAAGTTCTGTAAAGAAAAAAAAAAACGATGTATGCTTAATACATTTACTATTTAAGTTTAAGAAGATTAATTTAGTTTAAACTTATGTTTGTCATTTTTCAAAATTTGTTAAGTAAAAAGAAAAATAGCGCTGAGGAATGACATAAGAAAACATGGCTGTGAAAGTGGAAGATAAATTAGTGGGGAAAATACAGAAAAAATCATCAGGTGGGCATGTAGTATTACACTAATGGGTAATCTTTGTTATATATTAATCTTAACTCATTAAAATTAATATATAACAAAGTAAAAATGAATACAGCATTGTAAGCCAAAATAAAATAATACTTACTTCATTTGCATTTGCCATTAAATTGTGAAAAACAACTAAAGCTTTAAACACAACTACCCAACTAGAGTTAGTACAACGTTCAAATAGCATGTCTGCCACATTAGGAATGCTAACATTGTCATATTCAAGAGAGTTATGAATATCTAAAAAAATTTCTTATAATACTTTGATGCCAATAATATTCATATTATATATATTCATTGTGTTGAATATATTCATTGATTTTCAAGTAGAAAAAAGTTAGACAAAAAATATTATATATAATTAAAAGAACAATAAATATATATGCTTAAATAACTCTAATCATCTGTTATATAATAATATTTAACTTAATGCTGCCATTACCTATTTGTGAATATTTGATACAGAACTTGCAGCAGCCATTAAAGCTGAATTTATGGGGAGAAAAGATATTCAGCACTTTTTTATTAGAAAATGTGGCTTTATGTAACTAATGTAAATTTAAAAAATGTAAATGTTAAAGTTCATTTATAGGTTTCCAGTTTTACTTTTCAAGTATTTTACAACTAAGTTGTGTTTGCGCAAGGAAAAGGGGTATACAATATAGACATACAATATCTATAGAATTATACAATTGTTTTGTTTTGCAATTTTTTAAATAAAAAGATTTAACAAAAGCAAGCTGAGGATTTGAACCTTCCATGCGCTGACCTTAACTACTTTATAAGCTGAAAAAGTAGTCCTAAAATGTTTTTAATTGAACATAATTGAAAATCCTAATTTTATATTTAAAAGATATTATTTTATTAGCATTGCTTTATAATAAATGAAAGAAAGTTTAATTACATAATATTAAGGCAATATGCAAAGTTAGGGGTTTACAACTCTTATATTACTCCCCTGTTTAAAACATTCTGAACCTAATGCACAACAATCACAGAATTAAAAAAATAATCAAAATAGTATTAAAGCCTGTTTCATTTGTTTATGAGCCAACTAAGATTTTACAAATATCTGATGTATCTCTTAATCTGTCTATCATCATTATCATAAATAATATAATAATAAAATATACATTTATTTATAACTAGTATGTACATTTTGCAATTTTTTAAATCTGTTTTTAGAGTTACTAAATAAAGAAACAAACATTTTATTTTTTAAATAACTTTTATTCTAGTTAATAAGATATATAATAATTAGATATATCAATGATGCTTATTGAACTTTATCAATTTTTTATTAATTCAAGGCAATTTTTTACGCATTGGCAAATTAATGATATATATATACTAATATACAATCACCTTATGACTGTAAACTGTTATTGATTAATACAAAATAGTGAATTTTTCTCAATTTAGTTTGTTAAATTTATTTACTTATAAAAAAATGTATAAACTTGAAGAAATTTAAATAAAAGGGAAATTTAAACTGAAAATAAAATAAAAACTTTGACATTTCTTTTTTAAAACATTTAAAAATAATATAATATTAAGTATTTAATATGTTATTAATAAGTTATTATTAAATACTTATGATATTATTATATTTCTAACAAAAAGCCCCAAAATTTTAGCCCTCCTGCCCCAAACGTAAGAGCAACAAGTTGATGATATATTTTTTGAACTATTTTTAACTATAAGACTTATATTCATCAAGAAATTTTAAGTTTTATAGTATAATTTCTCAGCGTTCAAAAATTATGACCATATAAACTTTGCAAACCCCTCAAATTGAGGAGGATTTAAACTTTATATGGTTATACTTTTTGAGCGCTAAAATATTTTAAAAAATTTTAAAAAATTATGACCATATAAACTTTGCCAACCCCTTAAAATTGAGGAGGATTTAAACTTCATATGGTTATACTTTTTGAGCGCTAAAATATTTTACTATGAAATTTAAAATTTATTGATGAATATAAGTCTTATAGTTAAAAATAGTTCAAAAAATATATCATCAACTTGTTGCTCTCATGTTTGGAGCAAGGGGACTAAAATTTTGGGGCTTTTTTTCTTCCTAGACTCCAATCATCGCTATTTTTTTGCAAAGCATCCTTATTTGACATAAGTACAAACATATAAATGTTTGGAGTTTGCTCCATGTCTGGAGTTAGATATCTTAAAAGATCAAAAAATGCTGCGCCACCCCTGGTTCTATATATTCTATTAAATTATATATATTTCTGCAAATCTTAAAAAAAAATTTCAAAACTTTAAACAGGGCAAGCAAAAATTACTTTAATTTAATGATAATAAGAAAATTAAAAAAAGCACGTTTGTGAAGAAAGTAATGTCTTAGCATGGTTTCTTTTAAAGTAATTTCAAATGCATTCTTTTTTACTAAAATTTCCCATGCTTTTGTAAACACATGTAAAAACCATGCTAAAACATAATTACCTTCTTCAGTTGCGTACATAACTATTAAACTTAAAAGTGACGGTATTAAAGAAAGTATTAGCATGGTTTTTTTTTAAAGTCATTGATAATGCGTTTTAAATTTGATATCTTGTTTTTTTATGTTTGCTTTTTTATAATAGATAAAAAAAATTGCTGAAGTTATATGTTTGTTTCCAAAAAATATAATCGAACACCAATGTTTGCTTAAGTAAAAGTAAGCAGACGTGACGTTCGTTTTCTGTCTTTTTTTTTAAACAAGTGTTTACAATTTGTTGCGTCCTGTAAGCAATGAAACATGTTCCATTTTGTAGATGATGTATTGAAATTGTAATTTCTTAAAATTCATAGGCTGTTTAAATTAAAAGAAGCTACCAATGACCTTATTTAAAATAAGTGGTTTTACATTTTTTATTGGTTTCAAATAACTCTATGTTAGATGTTTGATTATGTTTTATATGAATCTAATTATTAGGTACAGTGATATTGTCTGGTGATTTATAAAGTAACACATATCAGATTTTACTTTTAAGAAAGAAGTTTATTTTACTTTTAAGAACTTTTTATGAACTTTACATATGTTTTTTCTATTTCAACAATTTTTTTTTTAGTTCAAAATTTAAAATTAAATAGCAATATTTTAATTTGCATTTTTATTAGTGCTACAAATTATCAAAAATTTTAGGTCTTAATTTATAATTTATCTTTATTTTATAGTTTGTATTTATCTTATTGTGACAAAGTTATACAGTTACTTATGCGTTGTTCTAAAATAAAACTTCCTTGACGAGCTGCTATATCGTTGTGGAGTTGCAGTTTGTTTTTTTCTGTTTAGATATGAAGATAATGATAATATTTAACTGCATAGTATGTTACATTTTAAACACATTATAACTATTTAAATATTTTTAATGAAATTACAAATTTCTAATTTTATTTGATGATATGAAAATTATACATTAATATATTATTTATTATAAAAGATTAGCTTATTTGAAGTTGAATTTTAATATTATAGTAAATTTAAATAAAGTGATCAGTAAGTTAATTTTTCTTTTTATCACCTATCATATTCCTTATCTTAGTTCTTCAAGTTTAGATATTTTACCTTTTTTACTTTAGATATATATATATATATATATATATATATATATATATATATATATATATATATATATATATATATATATATATATATATATTTAGATAGATATATATATAGATATGTAGATATATAGATATATAGATATATAGATATATATATATATATATATATATATATATATATATATATATATATATATATATATATATATATATATATTTATCTAAAGTAAAAAAGAAAAAATATCTAAACTTGAAGATATATATTAATATATAGTTGTTTCGCCGTCAAAAGGCTCGTCTTCCTGATCAGCATGCTAAACCTTATCAAAAGCCTTTGATTTTTGCCAAGAGAAATAACTTCTACTACACTGCTTGTTAGATAGAAATAACTCTTACCACACTGTTGGGGGCTTCAGCAAATACATTGGCTGACTAAATAGGGAGAACTTACAAGGAGAATGTTTCTACATCGACAAAGTGTTTGGGTAGGTGTGGAAATCATTTTTTCATTATTACTTTTTTTTTTAACGTTTTCCGACAACCCTAATAACTTACCTTCACTTCTTAAATTGTGTCTTGTCACTGACCTTAGATAGTGTTTAGTTTTTTCTTGTTCTCATTTAGGTGGTTCAGACTATGTTTCACAAACTTTTTCTATCACACAAACTTTTTTCTTTTTTTCTATCACACAAACTTTTATCTTGTATTTTTTCTTAGCAAAAGCATGAAAGCTTTTGCTACAGTCTAGTCCAATTATATATTATAATGAATATATAAGTGACATTTCGTTTTGTCTAAAACCCTGTGGTGCTCGTTTGAAATGGTCACAATGCAATCAGTGCGTCATAATGTCTGTGCCGTGTCAATCTTCTCACAACATTTTTATGAAGCCAATGTGTAAATACACTCCAATTATAATAAATCTTGTAATTACTCAGATTACAAAATTTCAGAAATTAGAACTAGAAGACTTTTATAAAATCTTTAAATATATCTTTAATAATAATAATAATAATAATAATAATAATAATAATAATAATAATAATAATAATATATATATATATATACATATATATATATATATATATATATATATATATATGTATATATATATATATATATATATATATATACATATATATATATATACATATATATATATATATATATATATATATATACATATATATATATACATATATATATATATATATATATATATATATATATATATACATATATACATATATATATATATATATATATATATATATATACATATATATATATATATATATATATATATATATATATAATATATATATATATATATATATATATATATATATATATATATATATATATATATATATATATATATATATATATACATTTTGTATATATAAACAATTTTTTTTTTATTCAAAATTTTTTTAAATTTAGTATTAATTTATTACATGGAACACATTTAGGGGTACCAGCAAACATTTTAAAAAAATGTAGTTTTATGAGCCACACAGCTGTTTTAAGCGAGCTTTACTGCTTCTTGTTACATTTTGAAAAAATTCCAAGGGTTGAATTAACGCATCGCGATTTGCGATATCTGTTAAATTATCTGGTCTTCAAAGTTTCAGTTTATGGAAAACCACGAAATTTAGTCAGGATATATAAAATGGGAGGAGTAAATAATAAAAAAAAGCGGGAGGATTTACAATGAAAGTTTTATTATTTATCGGTTACCAATATATATTTTTTTTAATTTCAAGGCCAAAGTTCACTGAATTTTTGTTTTGAGATATAGTTTTTTGTTTATAACAAGTGACTTGTTATAAACAAATAACACGATTTTCAAAATCAGCCCCATATCGCCCATGCAACCTAAAATTAAATTAAAATCAGGACACTTTTTGTCTGTTAACCAAAGCCCCCCCTCCCCCGCAGTTTCGCCACTGAGAGTAGTACTGACATTTACTTAAAACTAAAAACAGAGGTGTTCAATTTAATAAATTTTAGTTATAAAGAAGTATATTTAGAAATATATTTTTTTGTCTTTACTTTTATTATGATTTAATTGATTAAATAATAAAACAAAATTTAAGTTTATAGCCTCCTCCCCTCCCCTCCCCTTTTAATATAGATTTCTCCTAAGAAGTAAATTATCAGTGTTTTCATTGGATGATTTTAAAGTGAACGCGCGTTTTTTCCGGACCGTTAGTAAGATGTTTAGAAATGCTAAACTGTTTATAAAAATATGTATTCGTAAAAGTTGCTAAGGTTTTTAACATTGTTTAAATATCCATTGTATTTTTTCAAGATGCATTACTACTTTAATTAAAGTTTGGAATTACTTAATTAAATCATTTTTATTTATAATATCTTGATTATGTGTTGTTTGATCAAACAATAAACTATAAATGCAACATAAAAGAGTGTTATAAAAGTAACAACACTGTAGTATTATTACTTTTGTAGTCATAAATTTATTGTTTTGTTTTTCATAACATTTTCACTAACAAACTAAAGTTTATTTGCCTATTCCGTAAATTTCGTGGTGTTCCATAAACTAAAACTTTGAAGACCAGATAATTTAACAGATATCACAAATCGCGATGCGTTAATTCAACCCTTGAATTCACATAAAGGGTGTTACTAAAACTTCTATAACTTTTCAAATATTAGAGATAATTTTGATCTGTAAAAAGAATAAAAACACCAATAAAATGTTTTATCATATGACATTTAATGTAATAGTAAAAAAAAATTTTTAGTTTAGAAAAAACGCAACAAATGATGATCTTGGCTGAACTTTAGTAATTTGATGTTACTTTTTATCAAAAAAAAAATTGAAAATATATTTCTAACATTTATTAACAAGTATAAACATTGTTAGACTATTATAAAAACAAAAAAAAATATTACTCAAACTTTATGTAAAATGAAATAAGATAATTAAGTCATACAACAAAATGGCAAAAAAATATTAGAGAAAACGTTTTAACATTTAATGTTTTACGCCATTTAATAACGTAAACAAAAATTTAAGCGAAAAACTAGAAAAAATTGTTAAACGTGCCAAGTTTGAAAACATATTCGCTAACATAAAGGTACATAAAATAATTTTTATATTTTCATCTGCATAAAAGGTCGAAATTAAAATAACTTACATAATTCATCAATAAAATTATATTTTACATTTAAAAGAGATAAATTAAAAGTATAAATGCATTAAAAATTGAGTTATAGTAAAAAAATCACCAGGATGACATAAGAATCTGATAGTATAGACATTCAACGAACTTGGTTGGCCCGAGACAGGTTTTCCGTAAAAATCGTTAAAAACAGAAAAGTGATCCAAAACCATTTAAAATATTTTAACAATGTTTATTTTTATTTCGTTTAACATAAATATTTATTTAACAAAGAAAGATGGTTCTTTTATATTTTTTTTTATTCAAAGATAAAAGCGTTTATAAAAAAAAAATACTATTAATTTAAACTTAGTGAATTTTTATACTTTTTATGCGGAAATTCTTTTTTTTTTTAAACACAAAAATTCTTATGACGTCAAGTTCGCTTAGAATAAAACAGCCATGGCCACCCTAATATATATATATATATATATATATATATATATATATATATATATATATATATATATATATATATATATATATATATATATATATATATATATATATATATATATATATATATATAGTACATGTACCAGAAAAAATCTGCACGTGTTCTAATATGGTGTTTACGGACACTGTGCATTACTTTAATTAGCTAATTGTTTTAAAATGCCATAATATTAGTGTTATTCAAAATTTAAACAATTCTGTTATCAAAAAATTTAGTTTTAATTGAATTATCATTAAAAAAACAGCCCTCGGAATTAGGAAAAATGATCAGAATAATAAACAAACAGTATAATTTGTTTATTATTGCTCTGTTCTTTAAGAATGTTGAGCACTCTATTTGTAGAATATAATAACATAATTTACATATATATACATATATATATATATATATATATATATATATATATATATATATATATATATATATATATATATATATATATATATATATATATATATATATATAAAATTTTGTTATTTTAATAATTTGACTTACAATCAACATTTATAATATACATATACATATATATATATATATATATATATATATATACATATATATATATATATATATATATATATATATATATATATATATATATATATATATATATATATATAATATTGTTATTTTAATAATTTGACTTACAATCGACATATATAATATACATATACATATATATATATATATATATATATATATATATATATATATATATATATATATATATATATATATATATATATATATATATATATATATATATATATATATATATAATATTGTTATTTTAATAATTTGACTTACAATCGACATATATAATATACATATACATATATATATATATATATATATATATATATATATATATATATATATATATATATATATATATATATATATATATATATATATAATATTGTTATTTTAATAATTTGACTTACAATCGACATATATAATATATATACATATAATATATATAATATTATACATATATATAATATTATACATATATATTTATATATATATATATATATATATATATATATATATATATATATATATATATATATATATATATATATATATATATATATATATATATATTGTTATTTTAATAATTTGACTTACAATCGACATGCTTTTTTTTAGGACCTATTATTTCATGGCTGGTTGCTTTAGCTACAGCTTTAGAAATCCCAGACCCAGTCAAAGTGTGCTTCGCTGATTCCACTCTATCTATTACATTCATATTTAATTATCCTAAACACTTTAATTTATTTTTAGTAACGCTGTAACACCTTGAAGTTTATCTTTATGGTAGTGTAATGTAAAAACAAGCGATATATTTTCAAACTTTACAGTCTTCTAACAAAATACCGGAGTATGGAATTGTTCTTCTTCACAGATAGCGGATAATACATTTGGCTCCGGTCAGCGGCTAATAAGCCTGTTAAAATACAAATAAAACAAGTAAAGTGGAAAAGGAGAATAGTTATCAAATTGTAATTACATTGTGTGACACAGAGGAAATATTTACTTTAAAAGTTTTAATTAATAAGTAAAAAAATAAGCAGAACACTACAGAAAGTTTTAATAAAGTTGTTTTTGTTTCTCTAATTTCTTTTATCGTTTTCATACAAAACAACCTTATTTCCATTTATTTTTTTAAACCTATGTTTTCACAAAAGAAAAAGAAACAAGTACTTTTTTTTATTTTATTTCAGCTAAAGCTGCAAAGCGGAAATTTAGAACTAAAAAAAGCTTGAAACTTAAAAAAAAAACACTAAAACTTTATATTTTATATAAAGATATATTATATAGTTTTAGTGTAAATTATCCAATGCTGCAAGTTGTAATTACAATTAGATAACTCTAGAGTTAATAGGGTTAACAGGGTTAAGCTAAAAAAGTAAAAACGGTAAATGCAAAAAAAGTATCCATGTACCACACTGTAATTTACACTGTTTTACATTAATAGTGTTTTTGATTTTTACCGTTTTTATCCTTACTTTAAGTGGAAAAGGCAACCCTAATTCTGCCCTTATAAAAAAGAACACAATTTTCAATTTTGAACTTTTTTTTTCGGGGGAAGGGGGGAATTCTATTCATTATTATTTTCTTGTCCGGGTGTGTAAGTAAAAACATTGTATGTGATCTCAAAGTATCTGTTTTAGACGTTTTAATTTCACAATATCTGCAGGGATTATAACCAAACTTCATAAGAAAACAGGTCTTTATAAGAAAACAATTGTGCAAAAATGATATACTAAAGAATTAGTGTAACACGGTATAAGTTTCAGTATAATGCATTAATGTTTTTCATGAATTTATCGTATTTATCATAAAATCTCAACCCGAATAAACCAACTCAATTTGTTTTTGTTTATTCTAACAAATTTATAAGCCGCAGATCAGATAAAAAATAAACTTAAAAAAGAACATGATTTCGCTATTTTGCTACCATGACTGAAGGCTACAGTCACTAAAAATTGATAGCATTTACACTAAATTACAACAAGTTAAAAATTTATTGAATTTTATAAAACAAAACTAAGGGTATTGCTGTATTATTAAAGAGAATTTAAAGAGTTTAATTTGAATGGCGCACTATATTTTTTTACTGTATTTTGAATCGCGCACTATATTTTTGTACTGTATTTTGATTTTCTTTATATGACAATGCGTTTCTATAACTACATAATTTACAACTGCACATCCATTTTACGCATCTTCATATTACAATCTAAATTAAAAAAAAAAATTAGAATGAAAAACTTTATCAAATGATTACGTTAAGTGTCAGTATTTTCCAGTTTACTTTAATTGTTTAAAGAAAATTTTTTGCAACCACATCTATTAACTGAAACGCACTAACTAAAGTAATCTCGGTCGAATTCATTCAAATTTGTTCAAATTTTGACCACTTTGAATTTGGAAATCAAATTCAAAGTGGTCAAAATTCAAATTTGTCAAAATTTGTCAAACTTGAATTTGAGTCAAATTCGAACTTCATTCTTAAAATCAAATTATTTAAACTCTGTCAAATTCAAATTTAGACTTTTCAAATTTTGTCAAATTAGTACCAATATCACTCGAAAAAACTTTTTTTTTTAGCTAAAAATGTCGTTTGAACTTTAGAATAACTATTTCTAACTTTCAAGGAACCATAACGGTGGCGCAGTTATAGGGGAGGATGGGTAGGAGTAAGCCAAGGGTAGGAGTGAATCGTTGATTCTACAACTAAAACGGGAAATGAAAAAGACTCAAAATTTTCACCAAGTAGTTACATATAAATTGTTATTAACACAATCCAATTTTTTTACCGCTCCTTGGTGCGGGTGTCTGCATTTACGTTGTCATCCACTCTTTTCTGGGCTAAAGTAAATTTTTTGTATTTTTTGAAACTTCTTCAGCGAGCATACCGGTTGTTTTGAGACATTAGCTAGTCATTGAAAATTTACAAATAAACAATGTAGTTTTTAGAACAAAGTATTTTATATGCAAAAACCACGTACTTATTGCACACTTAATGTTTTAATCCAGTTGTACAGCTAGGGGAGGAATGAGCCATTCCTTTACGGGTAGGAGTAAACCACGGCTCACTAAACTTCTAATAAAGATATGAAAGATGCATTTAATCCAAAAAGAAAAAAGGATTAGAGTAAGTGCAATAACTTCTAAAATATTGCTTCTAAAATATATCTCGGCCAACTTTTTCTAGAACAGTAAAAGGCAGCATCGCCATTACAAATTTGAGGTTGTATTTGACTTTATCAAAATAATATTTGCTAAATATTATTTTTATTGCGTTAAAGAATCCCGTTATAGAATGTTTGCTGAGCAGTTTCATTAGTTGAATCATCAGACACCAAAAGTTAAGTAGGCAATCCGTACACCTGAGACTCTCCTGAATTTCATTAACTAGTTGTGGGATGGCTGCTAGAATACTTGCTACATTATTGCTTTTAAAGGTCTTTTTGACATTAGATAGGAGGCTTGCAATCTCTATTATTGCCTTGTTTAGCAATGTTTTAAAATATGTCTACCTTCTTTACTTTCAGAATACACCAGTAGCTTCTCCTAGATTCAGTTCTTTGAGATATAGTGAAACATTAGATCAAGGTTTGGATTAGAGTTTCTGAACAAGTAAAGAAATTTTATTTAAATATAGTTTGAAGAACTTTTACTTTTGATGTTATTCCATTAATTCTATTTTATTCCAAACAGGCCATTGGATAATATTCCATTCAACTTTATTGTCTCCTACGGTAAAATATTGACAAAATCCCGTCACTAACATGATAATCAAGTTTTATAAAAATGACTTACTTTGATGACCACAAATCAGTTGTATAAGCCACTCCAACAGCATTGTCTTTTAGATCTGTTCAAACCTTGTTGGTTACAGCCTGTTTAAACCTTGTTGTTGGTTACATCCTGTTCAAACCTTGTTGGTTACAGCCTGTTTAACCTTGTTGGTTACAGCCTGTTTAAACCTTGTTGTTGGTTACAGCCTGTTTAAACCTTGTTGTTGGTTACAGCCTGTTTAAACCTTGTTGTTGGTTACAGCCTGTTTAACCAATTGATAAAAAAGAGGAAGCTTTCATTTAACCATAGTTCTGACTGACTTCATGTGGAGCTTTGGATCAAAGTATTCGACAAAGAAATGCTGAATCGTTGATATGGTTGTTTAAAATTCTGTCTCATTAATATAGTTAAAGGCAAGAATACTACCTTCTGAATACTTCATCACAGCCAAATCAAATTTCAGCTAAGCTGATGACCTGATGTTGTGCTTGACAATACGCTGGAACAAAGTGGTCTGGTTGTGATTAATGAGGACCTTCCACCTCTTTTGGGAAAGCATGATACCACAATATTATTTGGTATCATTCTATTCACTCAAATATGTTTAAGTCTAGAATAGCAACAAAAATATTTATTTAAATTAAATTGTGTTAAAAATTTATATTTTATTTGAAAATCGAATTAAGTTTAATTAGAGTTGGATCTAACCCATCGAATCGACAATATCAGTTCCAGAATTAGAGAGATTTTTTTGAGAGAATTTGAGTTTTTTTTGTTTGAAGATTCACATTAAAATCACAAAACCATTCTAGTCCAATACTTGGTTTGTATAAGATTTGTATTTGAGTACTTTAGAGTAAATTGTTAAAATTTATGGTGGGTGCGGCATCAGGTTTTTAACTTATGGTTTTGCATTTCTTTATATTCAATGAAATTTTATTTTTAATATTTGTTTAATGATTTATTTATATCGAAAAGGTTTTCGATATTATGTAACATGTAAAGTACAATCAAAAGTGCTACTCAGTCAATCTAATATGATATTGGTGGAAAGTTTAAACTCGTTTGTACATTTGTTTAAACAAAAGCGTGAAAATGAAAATTTTAAAATTAAATTTTATTATAACGTCATAGGAATATACAATAGATAAGATTTTATTATATGTAAATATAAGCTAAGAAAAAAAACAGCATAGCGTAACATTCCTTTGTAAAAGTTAAAATTAATTTAAAAACTAGTTAACATGGTTACAAAACAAGGGGGTGCAGTGCGACAGATTTACCCAGGGTTACAAATACTCTAGCTCCGGCCCTGTAACGTGCATTTGCTGTCTCCTATTTAAGTGTCTCTAAAATAGTAACGGAGATATCTTATATTGTCAATTCAAAACTTCTTTTACTGCAACAAGACAAGCAGAAATCAGGTTTATAAGCTGTTTAACAATAAAGCATAAGCATAATTGCTGATTGTAAAACATTTGGGATAAGTGGATTTCCGGAAAATCTGTCTGCAAAACAGCGCACCTAAACTAGATTTGCAATCTTTAATTGTGTGCAAAACATCTTTTACAAAAAGATGTTTTGACATTCTACTGTTGACTTGGTGAGAAAATATATAAACACGTAATAATTTAAAACAATTAAAAATATGCAATGACGGTGGCTACGATACCTTTAGGCAATACATTTTGGTGGTTTGATTTTTTTATAAAAAATTAACAAACTTTTTTAAATCACCTTAGACGTTTTTAAACCTCATCTTGCTCATAATCAAAATCAATTTTTAACTTCCATACAACTATTTTTAAATAAATTACAACTTTCAGGTTCTAGAAGGTTTTAATGCTGAATGGTATGAAGTGGCAATTGTGTTAAGATAATATGAAAGGAAGTTTAGCTCCTTCGTGAGCTAAACTGCCATTAGCATCATTATAACATATAACATAAAAATGAGTATTTTATTGTTAAACTAATACTTTTTAGTTTCTATCCATTCATTACTAATTATATGTTAAGAATATACACTAGTGCTTTTTACATTATGATAAATTATTGGATAATTGTATCAGAGACATAT